CTCACTGCTGTGGCCCCTCCCGCTGCGGAGCACAGGCTCCGGACGCGCAGGCCCAGCGGCCATGGCTCACGGGCCCAGCCGCTCCGCGGCATGTGGGATCCCCCCAAACCGGGGCACGAACCCGCGTCCCCTGCATCAGCAGGCGGACTCTCAACCACTGCGCCACCAGGGAAGCCCCTGTCATTTTTTTTTTTAATTTTGGCCGCGCGGCCTTGTGGATCTCAGTTCCCCGACCAGGGGTTGAACCCGTGCCTCAGCTGTGCAAGCACAGAGTCCTAACCATTAGACCACCAGGGAGCTGCCTGTTTGTCTTTCTGGGGAAGCGCCGGATGGTTTCTCTAATGGCCGCAGCATTTTACAGCCTGGCCCTGCCCCAGGCAGCGTCAGAGGGCTCCAGGTCCCCTGCCCCTTGGCCCTCTCTGCAGTTCTGGGCTCGGGCGTGGGACATAGCACCTCCTGCTGGGCACCTCAGCTCCGCCTGCAGGCTCCCCGCTCCCCATCACCTGGGCGTCCCCTCACACTCCTAGCGCTTTGGGGCGACTGCCGAGGGCGCAGCCTGCCATCTGTGTGGAGCTACTTAGTTTGATACTTAGGTATGGGGGGGGGGCTTCTTTGTTATGTTTTTTCCATAACTTTAGTTTACCAGGGACACGTTTTCACCCTTTAACTCATGGTAAGTGACAGATAAAACTGCTTTTCATTTCGTGCCTTTTGTTTGTTTTTGTTTTTGCGGTATACCGGCCTCTCACTGTGTTGGCCTTTTGTTTTTAATGTAGGAAAGAGTTGATAGCTCAGCTAAATACAAGGGGGAAGGTGGTAGACGGGCTCATTCTTCTAAAACATCAAAAAAGCCCCCAGCACAAATGTTAAAAAATAAATACGCGTTTACCATTTTTGCCCCACGTCAAAAGAACTTATTTCCATGTATTTCAAGAGACAGCCTTTTAGAGTTGGGTCAGCTGGCACCCGGCCCTGTGCTTGGCCAAGGGGAGGCGTCCAGCCTCAGGCGAGAATGCCAGAGCCTTGACCCTTCGACCTCGGCTGCGCGTGCGCCTGGGGGGATGCGGGGCTCAGCCAGGCATTCTGTCTGGACCACCGCAGGAGGCGGGCTGGGGCTTCCGGGGCAGGTGAGGGGATCCTGATTCCTGAGGGTGGTGGGAAGCTGGGGATGAGTGTTAAGCCAGAGCCTGAGGGGATGGATGGGTCAGCGCAGGCGAGGGGGAGCTGCCAGGTGAGGGGTGACAGGTGGACCAGGAGCTTGGGTGGGAGAGGGCAGGTGTGAGGGGGGCCGTGTTCAGGCTTGGGCCCGCGTCTGGGCCTTAAGCAGCGGTGACCGCGGGCCGCTGTGGCCACTCGCACCTGTGGGAGGAAGCGGCACCTCGAGCGCGGCAGACACGCCGGCCACGGCCTGTCCCCGGGAGCCAGGTCCCCCTGGTCCTGGGGGGACCAGCCTCCTGCGGGCTCTCCTCTGTCACGTGAGCTCGTCACGTGGCCATGGGGCGTGCGGGGCTTGCCGCCGTCCGTTCTCCTGGCGGCCTTCCTTACTAGTCCCTCCCCAGCCGCCGCAGGTGCCGAGCCGCGGCGTTGGCCTGCCCACCCCGGTGCTCTCCACACCCCAGACGCCCCGGTGGCAGGTTCCCCAGCTGCGGGGGGAGCGGCCCCCGTCCTGGGTGGCCCTTCTGTTTGCCAGGCCGGTGCACCAGGAGGCGGTGGGGAGATGCGCGGGCAGCCGGCGAGGTGTGGGCATGCGAGGGGGGGCTCTCCTGAGGGTGGGGCCGGCATGGGGGCGGTGGCTGAAGAGGCTGGGCCCCGCCCCGTGCGCGCAGAAGCTCCGGCGGGCTTGAAGGGGGCCCCCTCGTTTCTGTGTCTGAACGAGCAAAGGTGCGCCCTGCAGGCCTGAGCCAGGGGTAGCAGGGTGGGGTCAGCGACAAGGACTGCCGTCTCTCCTCTCCCGGCAGATGAAGGGTGCCCTCACAGAGATCATCCAGCTCGCCACGCTGGACTCGGACCCCTGGGTTCTCATGGTGGCCGACATTCTGAAGTCCTTTCCTGATACCGGATCTCTTAACCTTGATCTTGAAGAGCAGAATCCCAACGTTCAAGATATTTTAGGAGAACTTAGAGAAAAGGGTAGGTTGAGTGTGTTTGGTTTACGCTGGGAGGAGGGAGATGGGTCTTCCTTTAAACCCTCTTTTGTAACATGAGTTTGACTTCGAGAGTGTTGCACGCTGTGCTGTAGTGCTGGCTGTATCCGTACGCCCCTGCCCCATGCGCTGCTGGCTGGCTTTTGGCCAGTCTTTGACAGGAGCAGCCCAGAGGCTCCTTCCTCACTGTACGTGCTTTATCTCAAGTGCATTATTTACTAGCTTTCACATTCACGCACCCCTCTCCCCACCCAGCTCCATGAGGGCACGGGCTCTGCCCATTCAGAGCCTAGAACATTCCCTGGCACAGAGTAGATGCTTATAACTGTGTGTTGAAAATATCAGCAGTTTACTTGTCTAGAACACGAACTGAAAACCACTTAGAAAATATTTGCAAATGGAGTAAAAGAACATATGAAGATGGGAAGGTCTGTTCCTCCCTGAATTCCTCTCCTAGTTTGGAGAATTGGAACTGCAGCCCTTTAAAGATGGAACCTGTGCCTCTGCGGTCCCGCAGGGGCGGTGGCCTGGCCGTCCCCAGGGGTGGCTGCCAGTGCCTCTTCTTAACTGCGAGATGATCGCTCTTACTCTGTAGGCTTTCGCTTGACTTGTAACTGCCCACAAGCTACATGGATGCTTCCAGAGCATTGGAACGCAAACCCAAGATGTTTCTGTCCTGGTGATTAGCTTGATAAGGGTCCAGACAGGTCCACGCCCTCCTGGGTGTCCTCTCTCTGGTGGCAGAGGCCTGCTCTGTCTTCTGCCCAGGGGCTTCTGGGCGGGCCTCCCAGGGGCAGGAAGAACAGCGGTGGCACTGGTCTCCGCTCCCCACCCAGGGCCTTCTCTCGAGCTCTAACTGCCTGGTAAACCCACAGACCTGGGGAACACGCCTGGGTGCTTCTTGTGAGGGCCAGGATTCAGAGGGTCCAGGAGGAACCATCCGTGGGGGCCGTGGGGACTGAGGGGGAACCCGGGATGGCCACAGGCTTCCCCTTCCTACAGTGCTTGCTCTAGGGGTGCACAGAGCCCCTTCCAAACGTAGCTAATGGACATCTGTGGTGGGGCCCGGGTGCTTCTGCCTTTAAAAAGCTCCACAGGGATTCTGCTGAGCCCTCCTGTCCTGTCCTTGACCTTTGGCCCAGGTTGGTGGCCTTGACTGCTGGCCTGTGGCAGGCAGGCAGTGGATACTTGTTTTCTGTTTTGAGAGCAAAGCAGACGCTCCACTGCTATAAACAGGAAGCTGTGCGTTTTCACATTAGTGGTGAGAATTGGGCCTGTGTAAGGGAGACGCACCTCCTAACATGTTGGTTCTCGAACGAGCAGTGAACGAGTGTGAGGCGTCGGCCATGCTCCCGCTGGAGTGCCAGTACTTGAATAAAAACGCCCTGACGACCCTCGCTGGGCCCCTCACTCCCCCAGTGAAACATTTTCAGTTGAAAAGGAAGCCGAAGAGTGCCACGCTGAGGGCCGAGCTCCTGCAGAAGTGTGAGTCCCGCTGTCGGCGCGCGCGTGTGGGGCGGGGGCAATGGGACTCAGTGCCCGCTGTCGGCACGCGGGTGTGGGGCGGGTGCGCCTGGCCTAGGGCACACTGGGACTCGTCGGGACCCTCCTCAGCGGGGGCTGCCTTGCCCGGCCTGGAAGGTCCAACTGACTGCCGAGCAAATTATGCTTTTGTCCTATGTCTGTAGTTTTTATTTTTAGATTTCTTTTAGGTTTTATGGTACCTGTCTTTTAAAGACAGAGTTCTACGTAGTTTTTTTCTTTTTTTATTAGAAATTTATTGATTGCTACGCTAAACTGTGTGTTCTAAAAATCTACTTTAGAAACTTCCGAATTTTTAGGTTAAAGTATTTGTGATTTTTGTTCCAAAAATGAAATCTGTACCAACTGAGTCACACAGGTGATGAGACAGGCAGCCTGGAAGAGATTGGAGAGGCTAGGTCCTAACTCCTGTAGCCCTGCCTCATTCTTGCAGATGATCTCAATTTGACTTTAAAGATGTTTGGTCATTTTATTCATGTTTTTTTAAGTAGTGGTTTCTAAAACGTACATGGAAGATACTTGCTCAGAAAAAGGCCAGGAAATTGATTCCTTTGACTGATAGCAGAACTTTTATTGTAAGTGGTTATGGTATTGGTATTAATAACCTATATAAATGCCCTGTTTTCAAAGAATCCAAATGAAACACAGCAGCCATCGTGACTCTCGGTTCCAAATGGACAGCGTCCTGGGGTCAGCACTGCGCTGTGGCTTCGTGGAGCTGGCAGTGCGCGGCCCGGGTCCCCAGCCCCCTGGGCAGCTCCCAGGCCCCTCCGTGTAGTCAGCAGTGGCACCTGCCCCCAGCCCCCCACGGCAGAACCTGGTGCCGGGTGGGCATGGGGCTCCGTCCCTCCGCGAGCTTGTTTCCTGCCTCGCGTTGATGCTTCTGTGAAGGGAAGGGTGAGGCTGTGCCAGACGACCACCCACCAGTGAGGCCCCTCCCGCCCCCCCCAGCCCGGGAGGTGCAGCCGCCAGGGCCCTACTTGCTGCAAGTGTCGTTCTCTACACCGGGCATCCCCAACCCCGGGGCCACGGCCCGGTACCGTGGGCTGTTAGGAACCGGGCTGCACAGCAGGCGGCGAGCGGCGGGCGAAGGAGCGAGTGAAGC